CACGTTTACACTTGATACCCAGTTGTAGTACCTTTTGGGGATGATATTAATAAGATTTCCAGTTAAGGAAAAGAAAAGGATCACCACTCTCCTTTCCGCTTTTCGCCTTTTTTCTGGAGGCTCTAGGGGCGTTATGGATACATGAACTCCAAAACACTCACCATGACCATCGCTTCAGATATTGGTTTCTAGCTTCACATTTCTAGCAGTGTTTCTAGCTTCAAAATTCTAGTAGTGTTTCTAGCTTCACATTTCTAGCAGTGTTTCTAGCTTCACATTTCTAGCAGTGTTTCTAGCTTCACATTTCTAGCAGTGTTTCTAGCTTCACATTTCTAGCAGTGTTTCTAGCTTCACATTTCTAGCAGTGTTTCTAGCTTCACATTTCTAGCAGTGTTTCTAGCTTCACATTTCTAGCAGTGTTTCTAGCTTCACATTTCTAGCAGTGTTTCTAGCTTCACATTTCTAGCAGTGTTTCTAGCTTCACATTTCTAGCAGTGTTTCTAGCTTCACATTTCTAGCAGTGTTTCTAGATTCACATTTCTAGCAATGTTTCTAGCTTCACATTTCTAACAGCGTATCTAGCTTCACATTTCTAGCACCGTTTCCAGCGTCACATTTCTAGCAGTGTTTCTTGCTGCATCTAATGGTTGATTTCAAAACGTTTCAAAACGTCTCTCAGAGAAGCAGTTGGCTGATTTCATAGCAGCTTTGTTTCAGCGTTTGCTAATAACAACCATTTTTCGTGCGTTTCTATTTCCCTCCTACACTTGACTCTCTTTTTGCAGCCATTACGGATACAAAAAGCCGCATAGATGCAATGAAGCGGCGCGACAAAGGATCGAATAGGGAGGGGGCGGATAATGGGAGGGAAGCATCTAGAGATACAGAAAGAGAAGAGGAGGTGGACGCTGGAGAAGTGGGGGTGATCAGGAGGACAGAAGACATGTCAGAGAGAACAAGCGGGCCAGTTGGAGGGGAGAAAGAGGAGAGGTCAAACAAGAAGGTTTATGATTGGATGGAGGTCAACAAAAGTGAGGAAGCACAAGCGGGACAACTGGTGCCAGAAGCAAGGAAAGAGGGTCAGCAAGCTGAGTCCTTGAGCACTCACATGCAGAATGAAAAGAAGGGTGGAAGGCGAAGGAGAGTGAGAGAAGAGTGGAAGGAGGAGCGAAAACAGGGGGGGCTCCTAGAGAGGGGCAAGGAGCAGTCTAAGAAGAGAAGGAGAAAAGGAGCGGAGGGGTTGTTGGGAAGTGGTGGTGTTGTTGACGTGGATGGTATGCTCATGCCTGCATGGGCAAAGAACTGTTGCGATCTATCTAATAGTGGAGATAAAGGCTCGTTGGAGCTTAGAGGTCTAAAGGGGAAAGCTTGTAGAGAGGACGATGGACAAGGGGAGGAGGGCAGAAGATCGGATAAGGGACGGGAAGATAAAATGGGAGGGAGGGCAGAAGGGGTTAAGAGGAGAGTGGGAGATGAGGCTGAGAGAAGAGAGACGAGAAAGGAGGCTGGGGACAAAGAGCAGAACGAGGTTGAGAGAGAGACTGATGATTGTGAAGAAGGTGGGGATAAGGAGGAGCTGACACCAAGGAAGGCCGTACCCGAGGGTGCGGGCGTCATGAGGTGGGAGAAGAGTAGCGGGCGAGCGATGACAGTACCATCATCGATGTACTTGGCACTTAGTCTTGGCAACCCGAGCATGCGAGGGAGTGGAAGGAACAGGAGAGGGGAAGGGGTTATCACAGAGCAGAGTGCGGAGGGGAATGAACATTTGAAGGAGCGTGGAGAGGAACACAGAATGGAACATGGGCAGGAGCCTATAAGGAAGGATGGAGAAGAGTGTGGGGAGGAGCGTAGGAACAAAACGAAGGGACATGGGACAACAGAAACGAACGAGAGTAGAATCCAGATAAGGGAGTGGGGCATGGAGCTTGGACCCTTGTGGGAGGGTCGGATGGGGCAGAGTGCAGCAGGCATAGAAGTGGCCACAGCGGAGGCAGCAAAAGTCACTTCGGCGAGTGCCGCTGATGGGGTTGCTGTTGTGGCTGGAAATGCCATGGTTGCTTCCTCATCTCATGCTGGTGCCGTCACTTCTGTCGCTGCCGCTACACGTGCTACTGCTGCTGCCACTGCTGCCACTGCTGCCACTGCTGCCACTGATACCACTGCTGCCACTGCTGCCACTGCTGCCACTGCTGCCACTGCTGCCACTGCTGCCACTGCCACCGCCACTCCTGCAGCTGCTCCCGCCTTGCCTCCCCCAGCTGCAGTACCTCTTGCAGCCGCAGCTGCAGCAGGCGGAGTGCAGCGAAGGCTGTCGCTCTTCTCTTGTGGTGGTGAGGTAAGCTGGGGTGATTTGACCAGGGGGGGTAGGGGTGATAATGGCAGCAGAGGAGACAAGCTTGATGAGGGAACCGAGGTGTTAATACACAGGTATCAGCAAGCAGGGCAGAATGACAGAGGCATTGCCGCTGGTATGGATGTTACCGGTGCTGCTGTTACAACTGGTGTTGATGCCGCTGGCGCTTCTGATCGCGTCAAGGGTGCTGGCGGTGCTAGCGGTGGTGGTGGCCGCTGCGGTGGTGGCGGCCGCGGTGGTGGTGGTGATGGTGGTGGTGGTGGTGCTGCTGCTGCTGCTGCAGATGATACAGCAACAGGTGCCAAGCCACGGGCCAAGGCAGGCACTGCTGCCGCTTCAGGTACTGTAGCAGTGGCAGGAGCACGGGCAGCAGCAGGTGTAGAGCCACGAGTTGAAGCAGGCATCACCGGTTCAGGTTCTGCAGCATTGGGAGCAGCAGTTGGGGAAGGAGAAGGGGATGGAGTAGGGGTAGCAGCAGGCGCGGAGCCACGATTTGAAGCAGGTACAACCCCTGGTTCAGGTTCGGCAGCATTGGGAACAGCAGCAGGCACAGAGCTGCGACTTGGGGCAGGCACGGCTTACAAGGTAGCTAGCAGCGGCTGCACAGGATCAAACACTGGCGTAGAGAAGCAGGGCGAGGGCTTGAAGGAGGGGTGCGGGAGAAGGGAACCAGGTGGAGGGAAAAGGAGAGAGGATGTATCGGAGGGGAGAGGCGATGCTGTTAAAGGTGGCATGCTAGGGAGTGGTGATGATGGTTTATGCGAGCAAAAAGGTTCTGCCAACAGTACGAGCAATGCAGTAGCGATCAAAGGGAGGGGCTTCGGCTCTAAATTGACACGAAGAGAGGAGACATGGGGGGAGGAAGTGGAGGCAAAGGGAGGTGAGAAAGTAAACAAGATCGATGCACGGGGGGAGCAGACGGAGGGAAAAGATGTGAGAAGGCTCGTTCGATCCAAGACAAATAGCCCAAGGATTGTAAGAAGCAGTGGGGAGAGGAGTGTTGGAACTAAGGTGGTGTTAACAGGGGCAGATCTGGAGGAGGGGAAGGTTGAGAAGAAGAGCATAAGGGCTAAAACAGAGAGCCCCAGAGGCTTTGGGAGCTGTAGGGGAAGGAGTGCTGGAAGTGGTAGTGATGCGGGGAAGCGTGGCCGTGGCACCTGTAGTGATGGTGCTAGACCTGGTGACGATGGTGATGATGGTGACGATGGCGATGATGGTGACGATGGTGATGATGGTGATGATGGTGACGATGGTGATGATGGTGATGATGGTGATGATGGTGGCGGCAGCGGTTGTAGTGGCAGTGGTAGCGACAGCGCCAATGGCAAAGGCAGAGGTGGAGGGACCAGTGGCAGCGGTGGGGGCAAGGGATTTGGCGGAGGTGGCAGTAGCAGTGGCGGTGGTGTTAACGAGGATCGCCATCGGGGGGCCTCTGGAAGGTTGCGTGCGGGAAAGAAGCAGCGGCGGTGCTGGTCGCATGACATTCACAAGAGATTCCTCGATGCGCTTATAAAACTTGGTGGTTGCTATGGTGTGTATGCCTCCCCCAATTCTCGGTGGTTGCTACGGAGTGCGTGTCCCCCCTACTGCTCATTGCCTGCTACGGTGTGCGTGTGCCCCCTACTGCTCGTTGCTTGCTACGGTGTGCGTGTCCTCCCTAATGCTCGTTGGTTGCTACGGTGTGGGTGTCCCCCCAACTGCTCGTTGCTTGCTATGGTGCGCGCGTGTCCCCATACTGCTCCCCGGTTTCTACTGCGCGCATGCCTCCCCTGCTACTCCGCGGTTGCTACGGCGTACATGTCTCCCCTATTGCTTGGTAGTTGTTACAGGTTCTATCCATTTTCCGCCATCAGTCTTTAAAGTGATGGTACATGGAAGTTCATTGTGTACTCGCTCCTTCTCAGGTCTCCACCCCATTTCCTCCTTCCAGTTGCCACACCCAAGCAGATTAAGGAGCTGATGAAAGTTGAAGGCTTGACTAACGATGAGATCAAGAGCCATCTACAAGTACCTATATTGGACATTTCTATCCATTTTCCAGGGCTCAAAGTCAGCCATGCAACAATCTTGAGTCGTGTCAAAGCCACCCTTAGAATGCAGCACCGTATTTTCACTGCACCCACCCTCTCAATGCATAACAATAAACAATACTGCATGTCCCCCCCCCCCCTCCAATCCCTTGTGATGCCCAAACTCATATTTAAACCACGCTCTTCCCCTTTAATTCTTGAAACTGAGGCATTCGTATTTTGCCTTCATATCCTCTATCCCGCACACAGAAATACCGCCTCCAGACTCGGCAACACATTGCATCACCCGCAGCCGCAGCAGCAGCACCTGGGGTATCAGCAGCAGAAGCCCAGGCATCAGCACCTATAGCAACCACAGGAGGAGGACACGGAGGACTAGCAGCAGCAGCAGCAGCAGCAGCAGCAGCAACCACGTCATCAGCAGCACTCCCAGCATCAGCAGTAACAGTTGGGCATGTGTCGCAGGGACACGTGGCACCAGCTCATTTGCTGGTTCTGGGAAGCATTCTTGTGCCGTCATTGCCAGGCCAGATCTCCCCTTCAGAAGCACCCAATCGGCTCAGCCACGTCAGCAGCATGCACCATCTTACACCTCACTTGCATGGCCATATCAGCAATGCAGATCAATCGACACTCCAGCAAATACTGCAGCAGCAGCAGCAGCAGCAGCAGCAGCAGCAGCAGCAGCAGCAGCAGCAGCAGCAGCAGCAGCAGCAGCAGCAGCACCAACAACAGGAGTACCACCAACAGCAGCAGCAGCAGCAGCAGCAGGTACGAGTTCCAGATTGGCAGAGCAGCCAGGTGGGGGCTTTCGATCCCTTCTTGCTACACCAAATGCAAGCATACCAACAGTTGAGTCAGCAGCAATCACAGCAACATAATCTGCAGCAGCAACAGCACCACCAGCAGCAGCAGTTACAGTCATATCAGCTGCAATCACAACAGCTGCAGCCACAACAGTTGCGGCATCAACATCCCCAACAACAGACATCCCAGAGACAGCCCCAGCCATTTGAGATACAACCCCTGCTACATCAACAACAATCGCAGCAGCAGCAGGAGCATATGCAACCACCCGCAGAGCAAAACCGGAACCAGAACCAAGGAATCCATCCTGCAACCAACAGTGTTGCCCAGTTGTTCTCACCAATTGCTTCTCCTCACACTGCCGCTCTCCTTTCCACTAACCCTTCTCCGCCGCAACAACCCACGGGGTCCCCTCCACTCCCTTCCTCCTTGGTTCGGCCCATTGCCCGCTCTTTCAAGAGACCTACATGAGGTAGCGAGGGTGGGTGGCATGGGTCATCGGTGGACTTACTGCCTCTTGGTCGTATCTTTCGGGTGTCACGCAACGGCTTGTTGCAGACACTCAAAGGTGAAGGGGAAAACATGGAATTGAAAGACAAGGGAGAGGCAAAATACTGGAAGGGAAAGTGGGCAAGGTGAAGGAGCGGGGAAGGGGAGGGATGTAAGGTGCCTGTTCTAGAGCCTTATTACGATACACTTGGGAGGGAGGTAAGGTGTCTGTTCTAGAGCTGTATTACGGTACACTGGTTTACCCTTGCCCCTTCATTCCTAGGTGTTGTATAGAATTCATTCTAGTAAGCATAAGAGCGTAATATATACTTTGAATGTGTTGAAGAGAAAACAATGCACATATTATGCTCCACATAGTCTCGTCATTGTTCATAAGTGGAGAAGAAAGGTAATGGACAAGACGGATGATGAACTTGCTGTGACAGGGCTCTTAGAGTACCGTAATGTAGTAGAAAGTAGAGTACATGGTGGTTTTGACCTAATATGTTGTACTCGCTAAGGCATAACCCTATCTAGTCTACAGCACCAAATACAAATATGTTTGACACACCCCCTAGATTGGAGAAGCGTAAGTGCCTGGCAAGAGACAAGCAACTACTAGTCCCACCAAGAGTCCGAAGACCAATCAACAAGAGTACAAATTTGACAAGAGCAAGCCAGGGCGGCACTACTAGTCCGACCACTGGAACAGCAGCCACAAGGCCAGTCAAGAAGGAATGATATAAGAGCAGTACACAATCAAGTTCCTAGCAAGTGAGGAGCTACAGGAACTAGACCAAGCTGCAAACAGTGCCGCTGATGATCTTTAGGCGCAAGCGCCTTTGTAAAATTATCAGCTCTGTTGGCACTGGAGGCCAAGTGAAATATGCACGATAGGCGACGATGCCGTAGCTCGCGCAGGAGGAAGTACCGCAGCTGGATGTGCTTGCTCTGCCCTCGAGTCGAGGCTGTTAATGTGAGAACGAATAATGACTAGAGGTGGAAACCTAGAACAAATACTAGTTGGTTGTACTCACTAGAAGCATACCTCAGTCTAGCCTATAACTTCTACATAGATAATATGTATAAGTTGACACACCCCCTAGGCTAGACAAGGGGTGAAACTAAAGAAGAAACAAACAGCTCAGGGCGGCACTACTAGTCCAACCACTGAGGTAGGGGTCTGGAGACCAGTCAGCAAGAATACAACCAAAACTGAAGCAAGCCAGGGTGGCACTACTAGTCCAGCCACTGGAGGTAAGGCCACAAGGCCAGTCTGACAAGCATATATAATAGAGAGTACACAATCAGGATCCTAACAGGGGAGCAGCTACAGGAACAAGACCAAGCTGTACACAGTGCCGCTGATGATCTTTAGGCGCAAGCGCCTTAGTAAAGATATCAGCTGTGTTGGCACCTGAGGCCAAGTGAACTACGCGGGCCTGGCGGCGCTGCTGTAGCTCACGCAGGAGAAAGTACCGCAGCTGGATATGCTTCGCTCTGCCCTCAAGCCGAGGCTCCTGACACAGGAGTATCATGGCCCTGTTGTCAGCGTACAGGACCGGGGCAGAGCTAGGCCGCTCACCTAAGTCTGTGAGCAAGAAGGTCAGCCAGCGGAGCTCCTGTGCCGCCATGGCACCAGCGTAGATCTCAGCCTCACAGCTAGACTGAGCCACAGACGACGAGCGAGTGGATCTCCAAGAGATAGCACCCGAACCAAGGCTGAAACAGTAGCCTTGCGACGACCTGAGCGTCTCAGAGTCGTCTGCCCAAGAAGCGTCTGTGTGCCCAGTAAGGACCACTGGCCTGCGTCCTCCTAGCACTAACCCCATGCCTGATGTACTAGCAAGATAACGCAAAACCCTCTTAGCGGCAGACCAGTGCTGAGGTCGGTGTCTGCCTGTAGCCACAAAGCGAGCCAGGATGCTGAGAGGGTATGCGAGATCTGGGCGAGTGCAAGTCATCAGGTACATGAGGCAACCCACCAGCTCTGCGTAGGGGCCACTGGGCTCTACTGGCTCCTCAGGAACGGAAGCAGAGAGCCCATGGTCTACGGGTAGAGGTGTGGGCTGTGCGGAGGAGAACTGAAGACCGAACCTCTGAAGGACCTGACGCACCAAGTGTGACTGGGTCAGAGTGATGGTGCGTGCTGCTCTGTCCCTAGAGATCTGCAGGCCAAGATAGCGACGCAGCTCTCCAAGGTCAGTGCAGGTGTGTCTCTTCAGCAGCTTAGCCTTCACAGAGGCCAGTGCGTCCCTGTCAGGAGTAGCGAAGACCAGGTCGTCTACGTAGACAAGGATGTAGAACGGAGTCTGGCCGGAACGCACAAACAGTGAAGGGTCAGCAGAGGACGGAAAGAACTGCAGGTCTGCTAACGTGGCACGTAGCGTGTCGTGCCACTCGCGGGGAGCCTGACGCAGGCCGTAGACCGGGCGCCTGAGAAGCCACTGGGTCCCAGGAGGGAAGGTACCAGTGAAGCCCTGTGGTCGGCGCAGGTAGACCTGCTCGTGTAGGCTGCCCTGAAGAAAGGCAGTAGAGAAGTCGAGGGAGTGAAGCTCGTAGTCACGCTGTGCTGCTACGTTTAGCAGCACCCGAAGAGCGGTCATCTTCGGGGTCGGGGCGAAGGTCTGGAAGAAGTCAACTCCATCGCACTGACTGAAGCCTTTGGCCACATAGCGCGCCTTAAAGACAGGCGGCTCTCCTGGGGGGTGCTTCACCTTGAAGAGCCACCGACCATCGACTACGTTCACCCCAGGTGGGGGAACTGCGTCGACGTAAGTGCCGGTGGACCTCCAAGATGCCATCTCCTGCTCCATGGCAGCTATCCACTGAGAGGCCCAAGGTCCCGAGGTGGCCTCAGCGTAAGTGCGAGGGGTCGAGATGTCGAAGGCGTCTGGGTCACCCTCTGGGACTAGGAGCATGGAGCAGAGATGGGGAGCAGCCTCGGAAAGGAAAGCAAGCTCGTACTGCCTATCCTCTAGGACGTCATTGCCAAGGGCAATGCACCCCCAACGAATGGAGGACTGGTAGGGTCAGAGACCAGAGCGGTGGTGTAGTCAAGGCGGCGGGTAGAGGCGAAGTCAGCGACAGCAGCGACGAGCGCGTCAAGGCGCGAGACAGGAACAGACGGGTTGGTAACAAGAGAGGCAAGGACCTGAGGGACAAGGGGACGAGCGCCACGGAGGTAGTCAGACAACAAAGGAGGTGCAACAGTAAGGGACGAGGGAGGGGGGGACGGGAGGAGCGGAGGACGAGACGAGCGGGAACGGAGCAACATAGGGTGGGTGCGCAGGAAAGGAGAGACGGGACGAGCACGGGAGGGACGGCGAGACCAAATGTGGGACGGAGGGATAGGATCAGGAGACAGCGGAGGGGAAACAGGAGGGGAACGAGGAGGAAGACGGGCCAGAGATGAGTCCGGCGGCAGGAACACAGGACCGTAGACAGGGAGGTCAGCAGGCGGTGGGGGAGACACCGGCGCGCGGTCCGGTGAGGGAAGGCCGAGCAGGCGGAGAGCGGAAATCGGCGGCAACGGCTGCTGCGGCGGCGACGACGGCTCGGCCGGAACTCTCGGACCAGCAGAGGCAGAACGACCGTCGGCAGAACACTCAACAGCAGCACCCCCAGAACCAACACCCCCAGAGCGAGAACCCCCTCCAACACCAGCGGCACCCCCAGAAGCCGCAGGACGAACACCCTCCTCCACACCAGCACCCCCAGGGGCCAAGAGCGGCGGCGGCAGTGGCGGCAACGGCTGCGGCGGCGGCGACAGCGGCGACGGCTGCGGCAGCGACAGCGGCGGCGGCGGCGACGGCTGCGGCGGTGACGACAGCGGCGACGGCTGCGGCAGCGACGGCGACGGCGGCGGCAGCGGGGTCGGCGACTGCGACAGTGGGGGCGGAGGCACCGGGGAAGGGGGACGCGGCAAGGACGGACCGGGGGTACCACCAGAGTCAGCAGACTCCTCAACGGGGACAACCGACGGGAGGGGAGTGACGTGGGAGACACCAGACGGGGCAGGACGAGGCGGGAGAGGGGCAGGGGCTACCGGGGGAGAGGGAGCAAGGAACAGTGGGGGGGCAACTGGGAGACCTCGGTGAGGGAAGCGGCGGTAGAAGGAGACGGACTCGTCAAAGGTGACGTCACGAGAGTGGAGGAAGCGGTGAGACGGCGGGTGGTAGAAAAGCCAGTCAGACGAGTCCAGGGGGAAACCGAGGAAGACACAGGGGACAGTGCGGGCAGTGAGCTTGTCCGTGCCAGAGGCACGAACGTGAGCAAGGCAGCCCCAGACGTGGAACGCAGACGCGTCACCGGGGGACCCGGTCCAAAGGAGGGTCGGCGAAACCTGCGGCCGCTGGGAGCGTGGCCACAGGTTAAGCTGGTGAGCAGCGTAGCGAACAGCGAACGGCCACAAAAAATGGGGGGCATCGGCATGGATCATGGAGGTACGGGCGACCTCCATGACCAAGCCGATGCGGCGCTCAGCAACCCCATTCTGCTGTGGCGAGTCCGGCAAGGTGTACGACTGGGTGATGCCCTCCGCACGACAGAACTGTCCAAGCCGACCAGAGGCGAACTCGCCGCCACGGTCGGAGTGGAGACACAACACGGGGAGACCGCGGTGGAGACGCGCAGCCACAACCCACGGGAGAAGAACGTCGGGCACGTCGGCCTTCTGCTCCAGGGGAAACACCGTGGTGTAGCGCGTGTAGTCGTCGACGAGCACAAGGAAGTAGCGCTCACCGCGCGGTCCGGGGACGGGGGCAGGGCCCCAAACGTCCAAGTGCAGGGTCTGAAGGGGGGCAGTAGCAGGACGCAGCGAGGAGGAGTGAGGAGCACGGCGAAGCCGACCCTCGACGCAAGGCGTGCACGGTGGCGCAGTCGAGGGAGGAAGGGCAGGGAGCGACGCAGGGAGACCTAAGACAAGACCGTGCTGGGACATGTGACGCAGACGCGGGAGAGCACGGTGACCTAAGCGGTGGTGCTAGAGAAGGGAGGGGTGAGCGAGGGACCGACACGAGCAAGCTGCAGCGACCTGGGAGGACGCACCAACCGGGGGGGAAGCGGTGTCTAGGGTAAACAGATCGGATACCGGGTCCCGGGGGAACGTCGCAAGGGGGGAACCTGAGACCGCCTCAGAACAGACAGCGAACCGCTCGTGCCCGGGGAACGTGGTGGTGACGCCGAGGTCCTGGAGACAGCCGACACCAACCAGGTTCCTGGAGAACGAGGGAACGTGGAGGCCAGTAAGGGAGCCTGAGGGAACTGCCGGACAGGGAAGGGACGTAGAACTGCGCGCGACGACCGGACCCGCAGAGGGGTCAGCGAGAGAGACAACAGC